TTTTTAATTTTTTTTTTTAACGTTTATTTATTTTTTTGGGACAGAGAGAGACAGAGCATGAACGGGGGAGGGGCAGAGAGAGAGGGAGACACAGAATCAGAAACAGGCTCCAGGCTCTGAGCCATCAGCCCAGAGCCCGACGCGGGGCTCGAACTCACGGAGCGCGAGATCGTGACCTGGCTGAAGTCGGACGCTTAACCGACTGCGCCACCCAGGCGCCCCAACAAGTCAAATTCTAAATCCACATACACAATTTCAGAACCACATAGAATTTCCATGCAAACTTTGGTCAGCCCATTCTTAAATTTGGCTGAACATTTTTAACTTCAGAAACCAATGTCCACGTGGACTGTTTTTATGGCACAAATTTACTATGGCAAATTATTGGCATAGTGTTGAATAATAAAACTAATAAGGTTATTAAAAAGTAGTTATTTACATTAGAAAAATTGAAAACTCATTGTTCTCTGTCTTATCAATTTTTTCTCCCAGGTTTTGTCCATATGCATAAAGCAAAATGAAAATTTATATAATTTTCTGTGAATCTGAGTAATGGGCCCTTGAGTTTGAGTAAGGAGATCTGATTTTCCTTATATCTTTTTCTTCTAACTTGTCTGGGTAATTTCTTTGATTCTCTATCTTACATAATCATTATATCTATCACTGACTTGACCGATGTGTTACAGAAAAATATCAGAATCATAAAATTCTGTCAGAAAAATTGACCATAACTCATCTACATATACACCAGAGTAGTTCAGCTAGAATTCAAAAGTTCAGATCTGAAAGCACTTAATAAGCATTTTTATAGAAAAGCATTGTATAGGTTGCTTTTTTATTAATGGTTCCAAATGATTGGTCATATTTCTGTTCGAAAACATAAACATCAATCTCTGAGCGCCTCCCAGACAGAAGACTGGTTTTATTCATCACTTACTGTATCTCAGTGCCTAGAATAGTTCTGAGAAATAATAAGAGCTCAATATGTAAGAGTATACATTATATTGGTAAATTTTTGTAGATCAAGGTCAAAGATTATGCACTGTTTGAGAGAGTCAGGTAGAGTCATTCTTCTATGTCCAAGAAGGTGCCTGTCAGTGGTTTGTGATCAGAAAGTGGTAAATCATGTCAAGATGTTATATAATGTTTGTGGTCATCATAGTAATTCTGAGTATGGTTTTATTCACTTGTCTTTTTCCTTTCATTGTGCAGGTGAACTGAAGCAGGTTGACAATAATTTAAATTCTTTGTCAAAAGCATCACAATAAACTCTCAGCAATTTAGCAGTCATATCTATACATGAATTAGCCCCTTTGTGGATTATTCACAGAGGATACAATAAGCTTTATGTTCTACTGACTTAGTAGTTTACATATAGCCTCTGCAGGATTTTAGAACATTTCTCTCTTTTCCTCCTAGAGTCAGACATTGCATAAAACCATGGAAGCCAAAACACATCATTACCTTCCAATATGCTCCTTAAGGATGATGTGAGTCAGACCATGGATGAGCTTAGAAAGAGATAAGGTGAGCTCCAGATGTTGTGAATCAGTCAGAACCAATCCAGCATCTCTCTTGAGCATGGAATCAGTAACAAGAAAGACTTTGGCAAATGATAAAACAGGATAGGAAGCTGGGGAATTTTTCAAATCAGATATTCAGAATGTGTTTTCATCATTTGAATGGAAATGGTATAAACTCCCAACACATCAAACACCTGGATTAAATAGAGTACAGAAATACAGAGCAGAACAAAATATAAATTATTTGCAATTTACCATTCTTGCATTACCCTTGTCAGTGTTCCCCCATTAGCATAAATAATTCAAACTTTCCAAAATGACTTGTGCCCCAGTTGTTCAAATTGTAAAATAACTGACTACATTATGCAATGTTTTAAAATTGGGCTATGCATGGGGCGCCTGGGTGGCGCAGTCGGTTAAGCCTCCGACTTCAGCCAGGTCACGATCTCGCGCTCCGTGAGTTCGAGCCCCGCGTCGGGCTCTGGGCTGATGGCTCAGAGCCTGGAGCCTGTTTCTGATTCTGTGTCTCCCTCTCTCTCTGCCCCTCCCCCATTCATGCTCTGTCTCTCTCTGTCCCAAAAATAAATAAATGTTGAAAAAAAAAATTTTTTTAAATAAAATAAAAAAAAATAAAATTGGGCTATGCTTGAAAATTTTAAATTGCACTATTGTTTATGTAGACAAACTGGATATATATCTGGAAGAAAATTATTGGATTAAAGTTAATCTTCTAATGTTTATTAGTAATCATGTTGGTTTGGTAAAATATCTCAATATACATCTAACTACAGACTTGATCAAATAGTCACATTTGTATTTCCTGTGAATGTTTGGATTCCAAAAGATTTTTTCTCTTTAAAAAATAATTTTGAGAACCATTATAATAGTACTATTTTTTTAAGTTTTTATATAATTATTTTGAGAGAGAGAGAGAGAGAGAGAGAGTGAGTGCGTGCTCACAGGAGCGGCAGAGAGAGAGAGAGAGAGAGAGAGAGAGAGAGAATCTCAAGCAGGCTCCACACTGTCAGCATGGAGCCCGATGTGGGGTTCGAACTCACAAACCATGAGATCATGACCTCAGCCGAGATCAAGAGTCAAATGCTTAACCAACTGAGCCACCCAGGTGCCCCATTATAATAATACTATTAAGTCATGCTTTGACAACTCTTTGCCACAATCCAAAACTACAAAAATGATAGATACGATATAGTAAGAGAAAGATAAAAAATTATAGCTAAGCTCAAAACAAAGCAAAATGAGCTAAGCACAAAGAAGGCAATGGGGCAAAAGTGGCAGTCACAGTAGATTCTGTGTATGTAGAAACAGGCCAGGGACAACCAGGACTTTGGTACCCACAGAATAATGAAACTAAATCCATTTGGATGTGGGGGTTGAAGTCTGTCTCTTTGCTTGAAAACAGAGCCAATATAGGTTTCCCCGCCCATGAAAGGAAGCTGAAAAGAGCTGAAACCTAATATTTTCTGAGCTTACAGCTTATGTAAAGAATCTTGCCTGTTCTGGGCTGAGTGTGTTCTCCCAAAACTCATATGATGAAGGCCTAACACCCAGTACCTCATACTATGATTGGAGATGGGGTCTTTGAAAAGATAATTAAGTTTAAATGAGATCATTGGGATAGACTGTAATCCAATATGACTATTATCTTTATAAGAAGAAGAGATTAGGACACAGACACACTCACTAGGGAAGACCATGTGAAAACATTTGGTGAGGATGGCTGTCTACAAGCCAAGGGGAGAGGCCTTTAGAAGAAAACAACCCTGCTGATAACTTGATTTTGGAATCCTAACCTCTAGAACTGTGAGGAAATAAATTTCTGTTGTTTAAACCACCTTATCTGCAGTTCTTTTTTATCACAGCCCTCACAAAATAATACAACGACTAGGAAGGCAGAGTGACACAAACGCAGCCTCATAGTCAGGCTCCAAGTCAAGCTGTCCATTAGTCAGTCACAGAATGTGTACTAGCCCTTACATTGTATGGACCTGGGGTCTTAGCTAGAGGAAACAGGTTCCTACAAAGCTGGTTGGACACACTCACACAATCACTAGACAGGGATAGGGATGTCCAGAGAGAAGAGGGTGGGGGTGGGGGTGAGAATCCCATTCACGATTAGCCTGCACACCCAAGGTGCAAACCATATAGCAAAAAATAATACAAAAAATGAAGCCAACCACATCACCAATTGGAAATTTCAATACCAAATTAGAGAGCGATCTGAAAACAATTTTAAAATAGAGATATTTTAGAAACCTTAAAGAGATAAGGAACATTCTCCTTGATTAAAAAAAGATATGAAAATGAACAAATGAATATAAAACAAAAATTCCTAGAAATGAACATTATAGTTATTAAAACAAGAAAATCAATGGCCTTGTTATACTCTAGACTAGAAAGTTTCAAAAAAATAATAAATTACAAGACATTGTTGAGGAGTTCGCTCAGAATGTGACAATGCAAGAAAAAGAGCAGTTAATTTCTAGGGTGCATAAATTGAGAATCTAAACAATCATCTGATAGAAATTCCATAGGATAAGAAGAAAGTACATGGTAGAGAAGTAGCGTGCAAAGATAGAATAACTAAGAATGTTTCTTAATTAATGTATCTCGGACCCATTAAAAGCATCAGTTTCAAAAATTGGAATTATTAGATTAGATTTCCCAGATTAAAAGTAGGACAAAATGCAGGATTTTATGCTTTTTCACTGTGGACCTTAAGGACCTTTAAATGTAGAATTTAAAGTCTATGACATGTATATACCTTAGGAACTACACTGGTATCAAACAATCATACTTTGATGAGTGAGAGTTTTCCCTGAAGAACATGGATGCACTCACACTGTCATCATGGGTAATGATAAACCCTAGAGCAGAAAATAGGGCAGGCCTCAAGGCTGGGGGAGAAAGAACATATTTCTTTTTGGGATCTAGAGTCCAAGAAATAGAAGCTTAACAATATTAGTAATGGCAACAGGAAAAAAAAAAAAAAAAAAACTAGTTGGTGAATTAAGTCCCCATCTTCAAGGGGTCATATCTAAGTTCTAGTCCCACTGGTATTTTGAACATTGGTGAATCTGTGTTCTCACCCAAGAACAAAGGCCATGTAAGGAGTAAGCACAACAGATGTCTAATGGTAAAAGCTCTTATGAGTGCCTTATAAAATTCACCTACGTGAACTAAAGTGGCTGGTCCATAGTAGTTGGGTTCTAGAGTTCTCTGCCTAAGGAGTAACTTGGTATACATTTTATTCCTGCAAGGGCCATCTAAGTCTTAGTGAATTGGCCATGATCATGGGGGCTTAAAAATACTGGATGTATTAGTTTTCTCGGGCTTCCATAACCAAGTGCCAAACACTGAGTGGCTTAAACAACAGAAATTTATTTCCTCACTGTTCTGGTGGGTAGAAGTCCAAGATAAAGGTATTAGCAGGGTTGGTTTCTTTTCGGGCCTCTCTCCTTGCCTTATAGATGGCCATCTTCTCTCTTTGTCTTCACACAGTCTTTGTATACATCTGTGTCCCAATCTCCTCTTCTTATATAAGAACACCAGTTATTGGTTTAGGGCCCACCCATACCTCATTTTACCTTAAATACCACTTAAAGGCCTTTTCTGCAAATATAATCACATTCTGAGGAACTGAGGGTTAGGCCTTCAACAGATGAATTCAGGCACACATAATCCAGTTCATAATACTGGGCTATCTTCAAATGTTAGAACAGAATTACCTAAGACCAGGTTCCAGCAATGGACAACCAAACTTTTTGTGGCGACAACAGCAAGGAGGTGCTAAGAGGAGGCAAGCAACAGCAGGGAGGGGGCTCTCCAAAATCCAGCAGCCACAGATACTTGACCCTATGAGTGCCTCAAAGCTCCTTTGAAGGAGCCCTGACTTACAAACTTGCTTAACCTGCTCCTTAGAAAAATTTAAGAAGAGAGTTACTAGAAAACATTAGAATTTCTGGTTAACTCAGGGGCGCCTGGGTGGCGCAGTCGGTTGGGCGTCTGACTTCGGCCAGGTCACGATCTCTCGGTCCGTGAGTTCGAGCCCCGCGTCGGGCTCTGGACTGATGGCTCAGAGCCTGGAGCCTGTTTCCGATTCTGTGTCTCCCTCTCTCTCTGCCCCTCCCCCGTTCATGCTCTGTCTCTCTCTGTCCCAGAAATGAATAAACGTTGAAAAAAAAAAAAATTAAAAAAAAAAAAAAGAATTTCTGGTTAACTCAAACAAATGGAGGTTCAATTTGAGCACCAAAGAAAATGTGACTTGTCTTTATCTCAAGATGGGTAAGTGAAGCATGCCAATCATCATCTCAGAATGCAAATAAAACTTTTATTGCTAAAGGAGAAAAAAAGTAAGAAGTGGAGAAGCTGAAGAGGCAACTAAGAAAAATGGGGTTTAAGAGATGTGGTCCCACTGCTTACTTGAATGATGCTGTGTAGCAGATTTTGTTGAAGGTTCTGCTTGTGTCTGAGGGTAACCTACTGAAGTAAGTGTGTGAGAGGAATGTTAAAAACAAGTATTTGTTTTAGCACAATTCCTATAATCATGAGAATTTCAAAACTCCATATACCTTAATTGTTTTAAGGATTAAGAGAGAGAGAGGAGGAGGAGAGGGGCAGAGAGAGGAGAGAGAGAATCACAAGCAGGCTCCACACCATCAGTGCAGAGCCCAACACAGAGCTCAGTCTCACAAACCATGAGATCATGACCTGAGCCAAAATCAAGAGTCCTACACTTTACCAACTGAGCCGCACAGGCGCCCCACTCCATATAATTTTTAGAATTTAAAAACAAGTAAAATTAAAGGAACATGGAGAAGTTCTATATATGGTCTTAATTCTTAGATAAATTTAACTTCAGGGAGACTACCATTGCTCACAGAGCTGCTCCCTTGATAACTAACTAATCAATACCCTTAAGTCAAGTGTACAAATGCAGCCAATGAAGAAGAGGCACAAACATATTTATTTGTTCCTTCAGGAAATACCAATAAATATACAACAGCAAATGAGAGAGAAGAGGTCCCTGCTCTCACAGCATTTCTGTTTGTGGCAAATAAGAGTAATCTAAAGAGGGTTTAATAGAAGGCTGTTTACAAAGTCATAGGCAGAATGAAGGGAAGCTGTAAGGAATAGTGCAGTACTCTGGGTCCATTAATTTACAGCTATTATTAGATCTTCATAGATCTCAAGGAGCAGGTAAAGGGAAAGATACTAGAACCAAGAAGGAGAGTGCCCTATAGAGAGGGCCAGGCCACCTTGACAGAAGCTGTGAGTTTTAGTCAAGAAATTCAGTCAGCCCAAGGGGATAATCAGGAATGGAGTCAGAGGAATAATAGCTCCCAATTTTCTCTCCTTGCTCTGTGTCTCTTCTGTCAGGACACCCCATTGACCAAATCCAACCTGAGGCCAAAAGGCAAGGGAACCACTCACAAACCCACATAGGTCAGCCTCCAGGTCTAAGAGCTGGGTAAAGCAGAGTGGAGTCTTGATCTGGAGGGAGAATAGAAGATGTCTGGCCTGGCATCCCTATCTTTACATTCCATCAACTTGAGTCCAGTGCACAGAAGAGCTCACTCCCTTTTACACACACCATGTTGGACCCCGCCTCAATAAATGGCCTTTCCAAATATTTGATGTTTTATAGTAATGACAAAGAACTTAACTCTCAAGGAATTTGGACACTCATAAATGAGATCAACACTTACAAATTTCAAAGCATTTGCTTAAATTACTCCCAAAGGGTCTTTTATGAAAGGCTGGGAGTTCTTTCTGGCAAGGAATGGTAATAACAACAGCTTAGTCAAAGGTGGCTCCCCACAGCCTGTGCCTGGATAAGAAGACTTTAGAAACCTAGATTTTGAGTTGAAATTTAGGCTTCTACTAGAAAACAAAGTCTTTAAAAATTATCAGGGTCAGTAAAATGAACCAATATAAACTTTTTGTGTGTCGCTTCTCCAAATATCTAAAGAAAACATGGCCAAGGTCAACATCCCCTTCACCACTGTCCTTTGTTGCTCCAATACTCTGTACCCTTGTTTTGACGAATTACTGAAAATTTGTAGAGAGTATCCATTCTTTCCCTTTGTATATTTTAAATGTCTTGAATACCCTTTCATCCACGAGTCTCAAAGTATTTTATAAACATTAATTTTCCCAACAAATATGTGAGGTTAAAGTATAATTATCCCTTTCCTCCCAATTGTTTAAATGTAAGAAACACAGAAACGATAAGAAACCACACCCCTGGTCTCAGAGCACATTTCCTGCAGAATTGGATTCAACTTCCCCAGTCACTAGCAATCTTTTCAATTCTTATGCCACTGAAAAGAATATGTCAGTGTTTTATTTTTCATTACCCTACCCCAATAATTGAGGACCCTCTTAAGGAAACTAATGATTGTGGAGCGTGTAACATGAGTCAGGCGCTGTAAATCACTGATTTAAGTCAGTGATTCTCAAACTTCAATGCACATTCAAAGCATCTGGGAAGCTTTAAAAAAGTCCTGAGGCGCAGGCGCACCCCATGGCAATTAAATCAGAAACTTTGGAGGTAAAGACCACATATCATTGTTTATTGTTTTTTTTTAACTTCCCAGGTGATTCCAGTGTGCAGTCAAATTTGAGAAGTGGTGTTTGGAATCTTTATCGCTTAAAGTGTGGTATGCAGACCAACAGCGTCAACATCATCTAGATGTTTCTTGGCCATGCAGAATTTCATGTGCCACCCCAGACCTACTGAAACAATATTCATTTTAACAAGCTCCCAAGTGGTTAATATGCATACACAAGTTGGAAAAACACTGCCTTAAGTAACCAGAAAGCAAAAAAGGTCAGTGACACTATCCCCATTTTATAAATGAAGATATGTGTTCAGAAAGGTCAAGTAATATGCCAAGATTCTAAGACAGGGCTAATTAAAAGTTCTTATATTTTTAATTCCACCAGTTTAAACTGGACAAGGGGAGTCACATTTTTGAAAATTGATGAAAGCTTTGAAACCTCATCCACGAATTAACACAAAAGATTTTTTTACGTGTATTTTGAAGGATTTCTCATACCAAAAGGTTTCCATGCAAACCTGCAGAACCAAGGACCACAGGTTGTGAATACCACCCCTCCCTCTGCTCCCTACCCCATGACTCCATGACCTATATGATATAGATATTTGATTTCTATTCAAAAAAAAAGAGGTCTATAAAGAAAATAAGCTTTGTCTTAGATGGATAACCACATACACATATGCACACAAAGCATTTGTTCTAAACAGTCCAAATACTCTGGGAATTTAACAACCAAAAGTCCTTTTGGAAGGCACATTGACAGAAGGTAACATTGTACATGGGCTCTTCCACACACCTGTTAGCAGTTGAACCTAATTGTTCAGCAGCTGGTACTGATTTGGGATTCTTTCACTATATCTCATTATTCCTCTTCTAAAATTTTTTCTGGTTTGGAACTGCTGCTGCTGTTTTTGCACGATGTATATATTTTTAAAACTAAAAAGACGTACTTTGAAAGAACTCTGGAGAAAGAACTTCTTTATTATCCATTTTGTAGTCAAATTTATTTAAACTGACAGTGGTGATTATTAGGTGTGGAAAATCTAAGGGTAAGAAAAGATTTAACTAGTTGGCTATCCTTCATTTTCTTATACCTCTTTCTAACATTTAGGTAGTCTGGCTAAATTCATAAATATCTGGTTTGCAGATATTTGTGGATTAGAATTGCAAGGAATATTGTCATGAGTAGAGAAAGATGCCTTTCCTGGGTTGGAAACCCTCTGGAGTAGAAGTACACATAATATTATGTACACATAATATTAGCTAGATTTTAAAGCAAGATACCCTTGATGGAGAACTAGATAAACTAAGACATTTTAAGAAGCAACATGAGAGAGATGATAAAGACAAGATATTTAAAATATATAAAATAAAAAGAAAGTAATGGTGCATACAAAAAAAAAAATACAAGCACACATAAAATGATCACAGATCAAGTGATTATTTAAGAGTGTTTATTTGCAAGTCCAACATGGCTTTTCTTGAGTGTGTTCATACAACATCAAGACCACTGGCTATCTTTGAAATCAAAATGCCATGTGAGATTGGGCTATTGGGGGTAAAACACAGACCAAAGCATTCAACAAGCATGAATCACATCTCTCTCTCTCTCTCTCTGTCTCTCTCTCTCTCTCTCTCCCTCTCTCTCTTTTTAAGTTTATTTATTTTGAGAGAAAGAGTGAATGAGAGTGTGCAGGAGAGGCAGAAAGAGAGAATCACAGGCAGGCTCCACACTGTCAGTGCAGAGCCCGACACCGGGCTCGAACCCGCAAACCACCAGATCATGACCTGAGCCAAGATCAAGAGTCAGACACTTAACCAACTGAGTCATCCAGGCACCCCAAGCATGAATCACATCTTAATAATAACATAAAATAGGATTTTTAAACTATATTTAAAATAATCCATAGAGAAAGGAAAAAGAAGCTATTCCATAATTTTAAAATTCTTAAAGGCATATGATTAATAATTTGGTTTTTTAATAAACCTGGAAAATATAATATATTCTCCTAATTATTCTGACTTGGAACATTCACTAAATGACGGATGCTCCTCTGAACCCAGCAGATGGTCTTACAAGTACTACTCAGGTCATAACAAAGACTATGGGTCAATGGCATTGAAGGTTCTTGGAAAGTATTTGTACTGCCTGTCCTTAAATCTAGTTGGTAGTGTATACTTCTTCACCAATAAGAGCACATATGTCACTAGAAGTTATAGGTTTCGTTGAGATCAGAATATTTATTCTGTAGGTGATAGTTTGCTTTTTGTTATGATGGCAACATATATTTGCACACATATTTAGAACATGCACGATCTGTGTTTATTATAACAGACAACTTGCCTAAATATTTATAACCCTGAGTTGAAAAGTAGGAATTACATTAATCTGCATCACTATTGATGGAGCTAGGTTTGGATTTACCTGTTAGTGTTCTTATAAATCTCACTAATAGATGTAATAGAGGTCCCCTTAGCAATGTGCCCTCAAGTAATTCTGCAACCATAGCAATAGAAAGCATTAAAGTGTCTTGAGACAATTTTCCTTTAAAATAGTGTCTCTGTGGCTAGCCAGATATTTATTGTAACATTGTGCTTTATGTCTTTATCTTTTTTAATGCAGAATTAGCAATGATATTGGCTTCAGAAAGGAGTTATTGTATAGAAAGAATGCCCAAACGATGAAGAAAGAACAGATTTACTCACTCTTATTAAGGCAAGTAGCATATTTACAATGAATTAACAGAATAAATACATACTCATTTAAATATTATGATCTTCTATAGAATTAGATAAATGTTGACTTTAATACAATCAAAGTTGTATTTTTGGCGGACTCTTCAGCTGTTGCTAGCTTTGTGGAGCATATATGTTAAAAGACTGAGTGCAAATAGAAGGCCAATGACATAAAGTATAAATTAGAATCCATACTTCCTTAATTCATAACTTGTATCACATTTTCCTCCCAAATCAAACATTTGAGTGGTGATGAACCTAACCCCGACCAAGAGACAGCAATGTGTGGTGGAAGGAGTATGAGTCAGACTAGATTCTGATCCTGCCTCTGCCACCATCTAGCTGTATGACCTTGGACAGGAACCTCAGTGATTGGAGAATTCTGTGTCCTCAGTGTGAAATGACGCTTGTAGGGTATGATGATCTCTTCAGTCCTTGCCAGCTCTGTTCTTCCAAGCATAAGCAGCTTTGTAAAGTCTTAAGAGAAAAGAACCACAGCAGCCATTCTGCCCCCACTTCTCACCTGGTGTGTTATTGTAATGCTCATCTGAGGCAATATTTGTCAGAATTTTTGGAAATATTAAAAGTATGGATCAATGCAAGACAATGAGAGATGAAGGCAGAGATAACATCCTATAGCTAACTATCTCTGACCCATTAGTTTTATGTCTTTGTCCCCTGACCCTTCTATCTAGGTCTTTTTTCTGTATCTTATTTATCTTTCATTTATTGACCCACCCTCAGAGTCTCAACCTCAACCCAAAGGAGGGCACCTTTTTAACATTATAAAATTTCAAGGGGCAGCACATGATATTTGTAATTCCTCAACCTGTTGGTTGAGAAAATATACTTAATCAACATTTAACAAACGTTCTTTGAGTACCCAGGGACTTGATGGAGTATAAATACAGATTCCTGGAGCCTACAGTCTGGTGAGGAGAGACATGTAATAAAAGAATCACACAGGCAAAAGTAAAATACAAAATGATAAAGGGACGATGAATTTGGTAACTTTTACTAAAATACAAAATGCTTTTGTATTTTATTAATCACAAAAACTCCTACATTTACAGAAGGGTAGCATATATATGTACAAGGATATCATTTGTTCAGACTACATTTGGTATATTATTGCAGGCCCTTTACAATAAAACTGCTGTCCCATGTTAGGAGTTTCTATATTGTGTGACCATTGTGTCCCTAGCTAGAATTTAAGCTCATTGAGGACAGAGATCTTGCTTATTATATATTTTCCAAATAAATGTATTGAGATAATTAACTGTTTGCTGATACCTCAGGCAACCCCCAAGTTTATTCCTCACTTCTGTTATCTTCACAATGCTGGATGCTGACCAGAAGCAGGGTGGAGTGGGGGTGGAAAATGTGTTCTACAGGGGTCAGGCTAACAGAGTCTCCACCATCTTGTGGCTGTACTCTCTGGGACACATAAAATTGCCAGGTAAGAGGACACAGGTATGGAGGATATATTCCAACTCTAACTACCTCAGCCCAGAACTGTATTGCTATGTGATGTAATTATTCCATGGCAACTTCCCAACCACACTGGCCTGTATCTCTAGCACCCAGCATGGTGCCCAGTCAACGAATTTTCATTGAATGAACCAATGGAATGTGAAAAAGCATGTTCTTTGCAATCCAGTATCACAAAGGGATTTTTAATCCTTTCTACTATGATACAACAGACTTGGCAAAAAATATTTGCTTTCAGCCGCCACCTGGAAACATTGCAAATACAACTCAGAACCTCACATCAGTTGTCTGCAAAGTGTTCTCATGACTGTGGGAATGGGAGATGACTAGTGGCAGTCAATGGCTGCCACCTCAAGCACGTCCATTGGATTAAACCTCCCTAATAAATATCAGTCTTGTTCTCGGTTCTTTGAAGGGATAAGAGAAGCCTGCTCTCCACCAGCACTGAGACTGTCTCCTGCCAGTTTCAGAGGAAGGGTAACAAGTCCCTTCAACAGGGTAAAATATGCATGCAGACTCCCATTACACACAAAAGGAGGAAACATTAATTTTTTCAAGGTAAATACTTCTGTCAGTCGTCAAAATTCTGGAGTTTTGGAATAAAACTGTCTTATATTTCTAAAGGTCTCTGAGTTTTCAAAGCACTTTTATATTAGTGATCTTAGTTGATCCTCAAAACAACACCATGTCATGGAAGGATACGAGTTTTCATCCACACTCCAGAGGAGAGTGTTCACCAGGTTAGGTAGCCTGCCCGTGTCACGTGGTGGCAAAGAGCTGGAACTAGAGAGCACCCAGACTTCTGACTTCACACCAGCGCTCTTTCAGCATCATATCATGATTCTTATCTTCAGAAGGATGAAGGTCCTTTTGACCCTAGGTTGTGGTTTGGGCACAGTTGCTTCCACCTTTGCAATTACTGTCAAACTTGGTTATTGTCTCCGATGCTTGCTATATAAAATGACCACAGACAGCAAAATCTGAAGGGAGCAGTTAATAAGGAGAATGCTGAGAAAGACGTCCATCTTTCTATATTCCCTCCAATGAAGTCAAGAGCAATTTCAGACAGTGCTCAGATAACTACTTTTTTCAAGCTACGGTACTAAGCTCCCTGTAAAATAATTAAACAAATAGACAACCTGATCACAGTTCTCAGGGAGAACTAACATTTTAGCAGTCTCCTTCTAAATCTCAATTTTCCTAGGCTCTTCTCCACCATGTAACTGTTCTGAGAATGCCTTAATTCCCACTATTTTTTTTTAACAGACATTGAAACTCAACGTCTTCTTTTACCAAAACATTTACATAAAACACAAGAAATCTATAACTCAGTACAATAAACAGATGGAATTCTCCTTGTCTTTCCTAAAATGATACTCTGTATGTAATAGAACTTACAAAATTTTCTTTTGTTTTTAACTTCTTCAGTTTCTAAGAAAAGAACTTAAAATATATGAAATTAATCATATGTGGTTTACATTTAAATCAGGCTCTTTATGTGAAATAGTTGTGTATGAGCACAGTGTCATGCTAATATGAGTGTTCAATAAATATTTGGTGAAGGATTGAGAGAATGATGCACTGCCCTGTGAGTACACATTGTCTTTGTTGTGCTGGATGACTTTCTGTAGAGCATTAAAGAAGAGAATTATAAAGCACGGGGTAGAGAATTAGGCCTTTGAAGACAAAGATTCTAGTCATTAGTACTAAATAATGAAATGACTTAGGGCAAACTGCTTGACTCACCAGGCCTTTGGATTTCTCAACAATAGAATGAGAGTGTGGATAAGAATTTAGATGGTCTCTAAGGTTACTTCTAATGCTAGTATTTTCTAATTCTAGACTGAAAAACTATCAGCCAGAGAAAAATATCACTCTCATCAGAAAATAAATATGGAAGAAAGGGTAATCTCAGGCAAGGTTTCTAAGTTTAAATGTGCCTGGGGGGTGAGGGTCTTAAGAATCATAAACAGTCTAATTGAAGACAATAAGGACTTCCCAGAGTCTTACAGACAGTGATTTTAGCATATTATCATCTGTTACAGAGCCCTATAAAAGGAATATAGTAGAGGGCATCAGAAGTGGGCTCTGAGGAAAAAGGAAGGGTGCTAAGGAAAGCTAATGTTTCTCCTCCTTTTTCTTTTTTTTAACAAAGCAGTTGAGGAAAGGGAAAAAATTATAATGAACTGTTCTGAAGTCCCAGAACTTGGGGGAATGGCTAATATATATCCCTAGGAATACAAAAGAGAAGAAACTTAAAGCAAATGGAATTGAGGGAAGGAGAATCCAACACAGAACTCTAATTTTTGAAGAAACTGGCGGCTTAAACAAGAACTTCAACCTGACACCAAAGGGCTAGATCTGGGATCCAAATAAGAAAGGACTGTGCTCTACCAAAGACCATGAAGGAGCTGAAGAAGGTACCTTAGCCTTGGAGGAGAGAAGAGGAACAATGTGAATAGATTGCCTACAGGACCCCTAACCATGAGGGACAGTATCTTGAAGCTCAGAGAGTGAGTAATAACCTCCTAGAAGGAACTGAACATTTAACTCAGCACCAGATAAGGGAGCTTCATCTGCCTCAGCCTATCATCCTGACAGTCCAGAATTTTCTCCCCCTGTTGTACAACACTTGAAATAAAACAACCATGCAACTGTGTATGTGAGAATTCCGTAGGCAGGCACACCACAGGAGAACATGAAGCTGGGAAGAATATGACTCTGAAATATGATCTTGAAAGAACTTCTCTTTCCTCTTCTCCCTACCACATTCCCTCCCCTTTCTTTGTTTTCTCAGAGAAGGCAGAGAAAAAAATTCTCTTTTCAATGTTTGTTTATTTTTGACAGAGAGAAACAGAGCATGAGCAGGGGAGGGGTAAAGAGAGAGGAGGAGACACAAAATCCGAAGTAGGCTCCAGGCTCTGAGCTGTCAACACAGAGCCCAACATGGGGCTTGAATTCATGCACCAGGAGATCATGACCTGAGCCAAAGTCAGATCCTTAACCAACTGAGCCACCCAGGTGCCCCAAGGCAGAGAAAATTTAACTGATACGGAGGCTAAAGACCACTCAGGCCTGCCAAGGAATCCCTTGGCTTTCCCTCTGGGGTTGGTGTCACACCAGCTTACAAAGCTGTCCATGAAGAAAAGCATAGACTCCACCTGAACACTCACTGTGCACATATCATACCTAAGGCTAGGTTTTTTTTAGAGGATAAAAAGATAAGCAAGATGTAGGTCCAAGGAGAGGTAACAGGGTCTCCACTACATGAGTCTGGAAGGGTCACATCCATTGGGCACATATTTCCTGTGTTGTAGTAGAATTTGTGGAAGGCATCTGTGGAAGAGGAAGTCCCCTGGAAAAAAAAAAAAAAGATATAATTACTATAAGGCTTCCAACCCAATGGGGGAAATAAAACAAGGAATAACCAAGACAAAGTAGAATAAACATGTGCCATATGTGAGGTTAAAATAAAGACCGAGTGCAGGAAGAGTCAGGATCACCTCCAGGGTGACTGGAAGGATAGGGTCACAAGGAAAGGCATCAGAGTCAAGCTTGGAAGGATGGTCTACTTCCATGCTCTGCCACGCCCACACCCACTAAGCTCTACTCTTTTCTTGCCTAGAAATCCTAACGATGCCCTACTTGTGTTTCCACTGCCTCCTATCAATTCCCTTCTCAGAGGGGTAGGGTGACCTTTTAAAATGCAAGTCTCAT